GTTGTCCTCCAGGGTGTTAGAGATGATAAAACAGATGTTGTTAGTTATATGACAATTGATTAGTATATTTGGTAATACTGAAGCTTGGAAAACCTTTGTTAAAGTCTATGCTACCATTTGCTTTTTCTCCGCCAAAATCTCCGGCGTCTGACGTCACCTACAACATCACTTCCGTCACTTACCTCACTTCCGTCCGTCCCTCCAGGCTCACATGTTTCTAAACCTTCAAACTTACAGACGTCTGTAAGTTTGAAGGTTTTCAGCTGACAGACATTCAGGTCGTTTCATCGCTCTGGTTTGGATGATTCAATGTTTATTAATCGTCCCTTCAGACGACCAAAGGCTGCCACATGTACGGTAACAGCACAGACACGTGACTAAACTTTTATGTGACAGCGTTTAATCTGTAAAAGACGACATTCACATATTTTGGAGGCGCGCTGGTCACCAAACTGAACCTGTTCACTTACTGGAGTCTGTGTGGTTGTTGTTGTTCATCGTCTTCTCTCCGACTGTGATGATGGTCCCATTTCCTTTAGCCTCAGTTAAAGATGGAATCTCCACAGTCACTTTACAGATGTACGTTCCTGAATCCTCTGTTCTGATGTTTGAAATGTTCAAAGATGAGCAGGTCTTTGCCTCCTTTTTCAGAGACCCGTGAGATTGAAAGTTGACCTCGCTCTTAATGGCTGTTTGATTTTTCAGCCAGGTTACTCCACTTCTTTCAAACGTTCCTGCCCAGCAGCAGGTGATGTTTACTGTCTCTCCCTCCATGACAGAAACATCTGGACTCTGGGTCACAACAAACGTGCCAGACAAAACAGCTGCAAGAGACACAAACCTGTGAGTCAGCACAAGAGACCAGCATTTAAACGCATCACAGTGAGTGTTTTGTCATAAATAAAAAACAAACCTCATCAATAAAGATGATCATATTTTCAGGTTTTCTTTTAAACGTTTTTTAAACGCAGTTGTCCTGCTGCTCAGTGCTCTGAGCACCGACACAATGAGGGAGAGTCACAGACTTCCTACATACATTCATTTATCACTTATCAATAACATCCTGCATTACTTGTCACCATAGAAGAACATAAGTGTAATACATTTTTATTAGTCCTTTATTTATCTCATTTCCAAGAGAGACCTGGCGTCATGGCAACAAAAGTCAACACACATGTACCACATAAGTATATAACATTTAACACAAATACAACATCCTGTACAAACATGTGACAAATACACAATAAGATGAGAGCGACATGAAAACAATATTAAGCTGTTTCTACTCACTCCAACATGAGATGGTGCAGAACGAGGTGAGAAGCAGGCTTCTTAGCACGAGCTTCATGTTTGCAGACTGTTTCATTACCGTCACTTCATCTCTGAGTCTCACCCACCACACACGCAAACATACGTCCACAGCAGAAACATCCTGTGTGCTGTTATCTTTAAAACAGCTGTGCAGACCCACAGCTTCTGTTCCTCCCTCAGACAGCACTCAGCTGTAGAGAAGTGGTGGTTTCTTCTCACAGCTGATGAAGGCGATTCAAAAACACACTTTATTTTGTTCCTAATACCAAGAACATAAAATCTGATCACAGGAAAGTAGAAGAGCAGAAAAGAATGAGTAAAAATATATTTATGATGAAGACGTCTCATTAAAGTGGTGAGCTGGTCTTTGTCTGTTATCTTGGTCACTGATGGCTTCAGACACCATGAGTGACGTCATTCGCCATTAATGAGGTGAGTCGGACTCTGTCAGACTCAGGACTCCCGAATAAGTGAGCTTCTCCAAAGCCCGCTGTAACCTTGCATGCCTGCTTAAAAGAGAGCTGATATTAAATCTATTCATCTCCTGCATTTCTCTCTGATTTGGCCCAGATCACCATCTCCGTGTCGCCACCATGGGGCTTTCAGCTGCTCTGCTCCTCCACCTTCCTCCTGATGTAAGGAATATCACGTCCTTCTCTCGTTTTTAAGTGTAGACTCAAAACTCGCCTGTTCAAAATAGCTCATCCCACACAAACGCTGCACTCTGCTATTTGAAATCTGTTTTACGATTTTAGGATTGTGTGAACTTCTTGATTTGATGTTGCTTTTATTATTCTGCTGTGTACAGTGTCATTGAGTCTACTTATTATTTCAAATAAAATGTATAATAATAATAATAATAATAATAATAATGATAATAATAATAATAATGATAATAATACATCATTGACACAAATATCGCCCCTGCAGGGATGACACCAGTTTTCTTTAAGTGCGCTGTTCCAAAAATAAATAAATATTAGTCCTGGTTTGGGACATGTCCAAGCACAAAGGCCAGATTTCTCTTAGAAAGACAAAACAAACAAGACTAACCAGCAGGATCAACCTAAGAACACAAAAAACCATCAGACAGATAAATGACGCTGAGGTTTCGCTTCCTGGTGGAACAATGTGGGTTATTAGAACTTCGGTGTCATGACGGCGCTGCACTGACTGTTTCTGGCTTTAACTGGTTACTGATGTTTACTTGGTCTGAACTCAGACCTTAGAGTAACTACCCCCGTTCATTTCCCCCACATAATATTTACTGGTTGCCCACAAGCGCTCCGAGTATCACAGTAGATGTCATGCTTCCACCTGAATGCACAGAGCTGCACAGTTCACACACTAATGTTCACTGTCAGACGCAGCTCAGAGTTTTATTCCTGGAGTGTGAGTTTCTCCCCCACACACACAGACACACACACAGACACACACAGACACACACAGACACACACAGACACACTGAGAGTGTGTGCGTGTGTGTGTGTCTGTGTGTGTGTGTGTGTGTGTCTGTGTGTGTGTGTGTGTGTGTGTGTGTGTCTGTGTGTGTCTGTGTCTGTGTGTGTGTCTGTGTGTGTGTGTGTGTGTCTGTGTGTGCGTGTGTGTCTGTGTGTGTGTCTGTGTGTGTCTGTGTGTGCGTGTGTCTGTGTGTGTGTGTCTGTGTCTGTGTGTGTGTGCGTGTGTCTGTCTGTGTGTGTGTCTGTGTGTGTGTCTGTGTGTGGTCTGTGTGTGTGTGTGTGTCTGTGTGTGCGTGTGTCTGTGTGTGTGTGCGTGTGTCTGTGTGTGTGTGTCTGTGTGTGTGTGTGTGTCTGTGTGTCTGTGTGT